CATTGGTTCATTAAAATTACAATAAATGTATAAACAATTATAATTACAACAAAATACATTACAGATTCTTAAGGGTCCTTATCTACTGATCATTTTACATACAGGTTACATTATCCTTACTCTTACCATTCCTGAGGAATGAATGTTTAAAGGTGACTCAGCGCTGGATCTTACACATCTTCGTAACTAACTCTGTTTTTGCCGAATGACCCTTCCATATAGACGTATTTACAGCTCAAAACTCCCTGTTAGGTGTATAAAGAGATTCCTTGAACGGGGTGCCAGATGACTTGAAGGACGTCTATTTGCACAGGGCAGCAAAACACGGAACAATCCGGACTTACATTCATGCTTACACTGGAATTCGAGTTCACGATCCTAATGACCGTCAGTCACTGTGAATTTGTTCTCTCGATAAAATATAAAAAAGCGTTCAATATAACAGTCAACTTCGGTTAATATTGAATATATTAATTTTTATATATAATTCTTATATTTTCCATAAAGTTATCTGAGTAAGGGGTCAAAGACCTACCGCTTGTCTCTCTTTGCATGACGTATTGTGTTTCCTGCAAGCATTATTTTAAGTTGTTTTTTAGCTACTCAACACACAAAATTGAGGATTACCACTTAAGTTTGTTACTTAATTTCCTACCACATTTTGCATCTTAACTCCACTGGTCTTTCTTGAGAAACGAATACTCGCTCAGCTAGTGGAGAAATTTGTCGCCTTTTATGGAACCAGAAGTTTCACTATCGTGCTTATAACAACTCTCTATCATGAACCACAACAACTATTTCACATCACCACATTCTTTATCTTTAAGAGTTGTTTGTGTATAATCCTCCCATCTGCGCCAAGGTATCTAAATTGGCCTGTTCCCTCCAGGCTTGCAGATTAAAATTGTGTTTTCATGTCACCTACTCTTCCCATCCATCTTTAAATTGGTTACCCTTATAATATTTTGTGAAGCGTGTAAATTATGAAGCTTCTCAGAATATGCAGCTTTGTCTTTCATCCCTTTACTAGCTGTCTGTGAGGTACAAATATATTCCTTAGTGCTATTATTAGACGCTCTCAATCATCAGTCTTCTCTTGCGCTCTGTTACAACCTACGTATTGATCGAAAGTGTATTGGTTAGGCACAGGGATAACATTAATGTAGCGTGTGCTTGCCACTTAACAATTGTTGCTCCTACAATGAGGCATCATTTAAAATGAATCTTAATATTAGCGTTCTTGTATTATCTGGTGTCTTCAGAAAATAACCATGCGCGCTGCCCGGTGGAAATTGGGGACCCGGATGAGGATCGTGGTTAGGAATGTGCAAACTTGCCAGGCCTGTCTCACGGGAAAACAGAAGCTGAGGTCTTTTAGCACATTTTATGGTTTAACTTCCGGAAAACTCTCATAACCCAACCCTATCTAACCTAACCTTCTCCAACCCAACCTTCGAAGGTCGCCGATCGACAGATCGCCGGTCGACAAGTCGAAATGTTGTCAGGTCACCAACCTAACTCAACCTAACATAACCCAACGTAACTATTTACATCCCAGATTATATTGTAGGCGGATATTCCTTTCGCATCATACCAAAAATTCATATCTGCTTACATTTCGCTCGATACATTTCAACACTTCTGACATATGCAAGGACGTTTACGTCACTCATTGTATGCCACTCACTTCGCCATCAACGTAAAAATTTTACAACAATTTGTGGACGTTGTCTTGTATAATGTGTTTGTATGCGTAGTAGTAGTGTTAAATAGGGATTAAGCAATTTTCCCGCTTAAGTAAACTCTTTCATTTATTGTTTTTCTTGTCTACCGTACGTTTTGGTGATCTGTCACGGTGAGCTGTAGCTACTTTAGATATAATTACACTGAAATCTACACACCTGCAAAGTTATTGCCTTCGAATCGCTTGTTGATCATAATTTGAAGATTTAAGTCAGCATTATGGTCAATTAATTCCTGGCCTCCATTGTAGGATCACATTTAATATCCTCAGGCGAAATTCCAGTGTGTGAATTTTTATTCAGTCTGATTACGTTAGCATATTTTCGATGCGTACTATATACTATATATCCTCTTTTGTATTAATCACTCTGATAATGAACTACTGAACTCACTGTTCAAATCTGAACGTTCTTTCGATGAATAACATTTATTGCCCTATTTCAGCAGATTGTATTTTATAACTGTTAATTGTAGTCATTTAAATTCATTTCCCTTTGTAGGCATTCTTCAAGCTTTAGCGTGGGCGAAGAACGCCGTATGTGGCTGTACATATCTGTCTGTCTGTCTGTCGCAGTTCCTTAGGAAGTAGGCGACCTGTATTACAAGAGTCATTTTTGCTTAGCGGAAGACACCAAGGTCATTTGCTCAACAAAGATCTTAGATGGTAATGCGACAATGACCCATGTGAGATGGCGTGAAGAACAGCTTTCGAATGTCAGTGTACTCTAAAGAGTATATACCTTTCCAATCTTGTTAAACAGAGGAACAAAATCGAAACGTTGTCAAAACGAACGAGAACAGCGTTCGAACAGCTCTAGCTTAAATTAAGTTCTGACCAAAAAATAAAGTGTTGTCTGTCATCTTTTAAAGTTTGCAAATAAGTCCACAAAGAAGACAAGATACTGAGTGTGCATTGTGCAGTAACAGTGTGGTGTAGACATACAGAATGAATTTATGATCTGCGATTTAATAGTACTGTGCATTGTTTTGCAGCTAAGAGTAAACCCACAATCTGGGGTTATTTTTCCAACGCTTATTGTTTCTAATCTGTTTCATTCTGTGATAGTCCATTATATCAGTAATACTGACGCTAATTTCAGCCGAAAAATAGGCTCTTATAACAATAATATTGTATCGGAATTTTTTGATTGAGAGGTGAAACGTGCAGACAGAGGTTCAGAGGAAAATGATCATCCCATTTGCTTTAATTTTACACACCTTGTGTAAAGAATACATGAAAAAATAATTTGAAAAATTAAATATTTTTATTGCGCGAATGAATATTGAATGCAAGTAGGTCGAAAAATTATGAACTTCCACAGGGTGATAAGTTCACAAGCATAAAAACGTTACAAGTGCTTTAATATAAATAACATTTGTGCGACTTTCAAGGAAATTAATATAACATGATGCATATACGCTATAATAATAATAATAATAATACACATGATACATCATAGATTTTCATTCACATTTGCATGGTTCTTAAAATCTTAAGCATGCAATTCTGTTGTCATATACGATTTCGACATGGAAGATTATAATCTGATAATTATCAGTGAATATTTACAATGAAAACATCTAACCCATAATAAAACAAATTACAGTGTCCTAGAATGAAGATGGAATACTAATGAAAGCATTTCTATTTGACATCTTGCTTCAGTGCTAGAACTGCTTTTCAAAGAAAGTTTCTAAAGAAAGCTATATATTGTATTGCGTTCCAGCATACAGAAACAAATTTGATAACAATATGTAACAAACTAAACAAACAGGAGATAATGTCTTCGAACAAAGAAGTTCGGTTTTTTGGTCTGTATTGGTATGTAACTATGATTTTCCCCTTCTTATCACAGCATGCTGCGAGTTAGCTTATTATTGCACTGAAAATTTTGATGTTATTGTCTGGTTTGGTATGTTTTCCACAGCAAAGCTATAAAACTCTTCCTCTGTGACTGTTTATTTATAATGGTTATTCGTACATAAATTCAGCATATGAACATCGGTCATTCATCACTTGGAAGGTGTGATCGTGGTGAGATCGTATGTGTGTGGATCATCTGGCCTGAGAATTATAACCTTCCAATCAGCATGATTTCAGAAGTTGGTATCCGTCACAAAAGTGATTTGCGGGTACAGAAGTTTAAGTGAAGTAAAGAAGTTTTGTGTTCAGGGCATTGTTGATCCTTCTCCTTTCAGGTCTCGATAGTAGCTGTATACAACTAGGAGGGAGTACACTTGCAAACCTGTGAACATAATTATGGTACAGACTGAATCACTCGATTAGTGAACTTTTTTGGTTTAGTTCATTATTTCGTGCATGCAATCAGTGTTCATTATGAAATGAGGAAGTCAGTAAATGAGTACAAGTTTTGTGGTTAATGGTCTACTGAGTTGTGAATCTGAGCGAAACTTTAAATCTCATTTTATCGCTTGTTATTGTCCAAATTGCACAAAACAACGAGTTGGAAGGTTTTAGTGGGATTATTTAAATCTTAAGAAACCACGTTTTTTAACAAGCATGTATCCAAATTGTACGAAACAAAAAGTTATAGAAATATTTAATATGATTTCTTAAATCTGGTACAAACACAAGTTTTGCTCGTAATTGTAAGAAAGAGATGAAATGATTCAGGGGGCACGTTATTTAAATAATACATGCCCAAATCATTTCCACTCTGAACGGTCCTGACGATGGTGTAACACAATCCTGATTTTTGGACCTTTCCCGTCGTCTGATGTTATAAGATGTCTGTTTTATTAGGGGTCAGGGAAGTTAATATGCTGCTATCTATGGAGATATGTTTTAAGGTCTGTATATATCATTTCGAAAAAGGGTTATTTTGGCCTATATTAATTTCGATAAACTAAATTATTTGAAATTCCCAATAAAGTATACAAACATGATAAAATAACTTACTTAGTACAGAATGCTCTCGACATTTTGACATTTCAACTTTTTGACTGTTTTAACTAAATTAAAAAGGTTTTATTATATAATTTTGTCATTATTTCTTTACGTCGGAAGGAAATACGATAATACAGTCTTCAGCGCAATGACACAGAATCAGGGAATTTAACCTGATGATGGCCTTATTAGACCGAAACATGTTGTTAAAGTGAATGGATAGTGAACAGGGTGTGTGAAAAGTGACGTACGAGAGAAAAACCTAGAATGTGTGAACTCCTTTCAGCGAACCAAAACGTTCTGACAATCTGCTCTAGCTCATCGCACTGCGACGATGCGACTGAGTGACACGTTGCTAACGTTTGGTATTTTAAAAATAACCGATGGAAAATATTTCATAAACTTCTATTCTGAAATAGCTATGACTTACATTCATGGATTAATAGAACCACGATAAATCCAGTTGCAACTCCAAAACGGTCGTGGGTGAAATTGGTAATGGCAAATATTATGTGCTGGACAAATGACAGAAAGAGGTAAAGGCACCCGTAAAGAAGCCAGGGAAGCAGGTACCGCATTTGACCCTGTGAACATAAACATTTGTTACAAGGAAAACAGTATCACTGTGGAGATAAACCTTAATATCTGGTGCTTTCGGTTTTTGTGAAATAACATGGTAGCAGCTGAAGACTTTGTGAGTCAGTGAGTACTTACTCTGCGAGATCCGAAAAACATGAGGATGCTAACCATCATCAATATGGCCCCTGTGACTCCACTCGCAATCACAACTGTTGGTAGAAATAGTGCGTGTTATTACACATTGAGTATTATAAGCCTTCTGTGGGAATTGCCACCAGCATAGTATCTGACATAACAAGGCACATGTTGTTGCAAAGAAGTGAACACCGTCTCAGAAAAGAATAATATGCAAATTACATTAAATGTTGTAGTCACAATTTTGTACTGAATACGTTGTTTGTGCAACTGACATCTTGAGGTACTCATAAAGTTAGGATCACTATAAGAAAGAAGTCAGTCCATTGTAAGTTTCCAGATTTAAATTTATGTTGTTTGCTGATCATGTTCTGTTGATAAGGGGTTTTGGGCCTTAAGTGAAAACATTCAAATGGATCTGTGTGTTGTTTTGCCATTGCCATGATATGGTCATCATTTGCGTTGAAGGGATTTTGGGCTTCGTGGATTACGAGTGGAAACAACAAGTAAACATAAGGATTTGAGTTTTTCACGGCGTTGAGTTTAAAGTTGGTTGTCTTCTGGATTGTTGCGCTGTGTAATCTGATAGAAGTTTACCCGACGTTCGAGAGATCCTTGCTGCATCCATCATCACACAGTGCAACAACCCAGAAGACAACCATCTTCAGTAAGTAAATACCTCTAACAACGGTAAATTTATATACCATACTATGCGGCACATCGTCCCAGAAGATAGTCATTTTGAAGTAGAGGACTTCAATGCCCAATATAAGTCTCAGAGACCGAGTTTTCGTACGACTGTCATATTTTATGTTTTTTTGAATTGCATCTTACCTTCAAACATCCCGTGAAAATCCTTTGAAAATTCTGGTCCTGAAATTGCTAGCACTATGCTCAGTATACCAATAGTCTGGAAAAAGAAAATTCAACCAAATACATAAAACCAACATTGTAAGTTTTGTGAACATGTAAACTGCAAGTATTTAAAAAAATTGTAATCGTTATATGTATGTGCACTTCCGGTCTGATCTTTCACACGTTAACTAATTATATTCACGTTACAACATAACTTCAAATCATAAAATAATTTGGGTTATTGGAACTTGATTTTATGGTACGGCTTCTAGGTAAATCACATAGAGTTACCAGATACTAAAACTTATGATGTTAACTTTCACTTCTTTTACTAAAGCTTTCTGTTTTTCGAGTATGAATTGTGTGGACTGAAATCATCTGGCTCAGGACAAGGTTAATTGTCGGAAAATCGCGAATGATTTAATGAACGTCTCGTTTGCAAAGAATCGGTCAGTTCAAGTTTCGGTGACATAAGTCAAGAGGAATCGTGCCAAAGTGTTCTAGTTATATTCTTGTGTGTTTTTGATTAAGATTTTGAAGTAGGTGAGTTATTGTACTTCATTTAGTAGCACTGCTTTGTTTGAAGAAACAAATTTGATCGGCTTCAGGTAAAATAGAAAGTCGATTGAATACGTAAGCACCAAATCTTTCCATTATTCTGATTTAAGCCATAGAAGAATGGAAAGTTACAGGTGGCCGTGATGGGGACTTAAGAGTTTCAGGTCTCATAGAAATTTTGTTTTTAAAGAAGAAGGAAATCTTTATCTGGCCTCTGTGTAACCTTGCGCAGCATAAATACGCAGTTTAACTGATTTTGGCCTTGGGAAGTTGTCGGAAATCAGTGGGTGGTCGACGACTTTTTAAATTTATCTAACAAATCTACTACAGTTGTTAAAATATTAGTTCTTTTAAAATGAAGCAAATTTTTAATATTCTGCTTTACACCACAATCGCGAGCCGTCTCCCTGCAGCCTCTTCCTTACATTCTGTTTACGGAAGCCTGTCCGTCCGCGACATTTACTCCATCCAACCTTGAGGCAATTGCTGGTTGTCTGAGTAGAAAGAGTTTCGTCATCAAAATTTGTCATTTGAATCCTTACCGCGTCTGTGACGCTGATGATGCTGCTTCCAGTCTTGAGCGAACACCCGCAACAACACTGTCTCAACATTACAACCATCTCGGCACTGCGACGAGGATTCTGACCTCGATGACTGTAACACACGCAATTAAACCTATAATCTTAGTTTGAACTGTCTCAGTTTTATATTAAACCTTGTATCACCTGCAAATATTATTTAGTGTCGACTTAGATCAGAACGAGAAGTGGGAAGGAAACGGTCGTAGGATATTCCAGGGTCTGCTCGTCATTTAAACAATTTAAAATGCAGGTGACAGTGTTTCATTCTTAAAGTCAGTTTGAATCATAATATAATTTAAACTTCCCGCCCATAATAACATCACCTGTAAATGTGGGCTGTCACGTGCAGCTGCACTAGAAGCCACACATCAACTCCTGCCAGAAGATGAGGTACACGTCACAAACACCAGCCACTTAACCGATATGTAATGATTGATGGTGAACACGTATATGTATGTAGACACACCGTCGACTTACCTAGAAGCAATGGCAGAGCTGTGTGAGGATCAGGGAAGCAGGAACTGTATTTATATCACTGCGAGGGTGGACTTCCACATCTAGCCCAATTCCTACCTAATTTTATCTACGAATTCTGTCTCCCCTCATAATTTCCTAATTTTAACTACGTGTGAAATTCAGGTCTTCCTTCCGACTTCGTATCGCAGTCGCTAAGGTATGACAACTGTTCATTTCGATCATCTCTGTTTGAAGTCCCGGGACTCCGAGAGGCTAAATTTGAATTACACGTTAAGAGCATCTGACGACAACGTGAAGACTGTCATGCATTCCAGTATTTGTATATTTCAGAATAGTCTTACACAAATCGATAGACAGAACATTATTGTTTGTGTTACAGTCAACATCACAAAATGTGCAGGATATAAATTTGCTGCATCAATACGAAATCATCCATAACATTGTATTACAGGGTGTAACCTGCCTCCAAGGTTATCAGTGCACTAAGGGGTGTGCCATTTAAAATCCAGTCCGATACTAATCAATTACAACGATAAAAACATTAAACCAGAAGCAGGTCTACCGACATTTAATAGTCTCTCCGAACATCCCTTGTGACGCTTGAGTCAAGGTCACCTTGTTGCTAGGCCGCTGCTCAGACCAGTTGTGAACATGCTGTATTCATGTATTTTCATACATTAGTTTCATCGAAGCATTTAGCGATGCGTATCCTGACAAGGAAGTACATAATAATATAATGTACCGACTCGTAACAAGATTTCGGGACACAGATAACATTTTTCTGTGAAAAGTGGTCATCTAGTGACAAAATAGCTGAAATTACGGTCGTATCGATTACAAGTAGTGAATCATCAGCTGTAGAAACGGGGTCAGGCTGCAAGAATCTGTTATTGTTGTTGGTTTCGTCGTGGAGGGGTTCATGTGCAGCAGCTGATTTTTAAATAGGCCCTGTCTTATGTCTAAGGATTCACATGTTTCGTGAGAACTCAGGAACACAGTATTAACCTTTTGAAGCCAAATCTCGTGTAAATAATATTTAAGAATTCAGTCCGTCCCGCGTGAAAAACAGAACACTTCACTGATTGTTCAACGCTGTTAAGAAAATAATCCCCGTTTACAGTGATAATCATATGGAACCCATAAATATCAAAATCAAGAGTTGAATGTTGGTTGTTGAGGCAGGTGGAACATAACAGTTATCAGTGACGTTAAAGTATTAAAAGCAATCATAACAATTAATTGAAATTTAACCGCGATAGTCTATTCTCACAAATAAAACACGACATGCTTTGGGACGGCCATGCAGTCCTGTAACCATGATGACTTAATTCAACTAGAACTTTGTCCAAATATGAAAAGCTGCAGACCTTGTTCAGACCTGTGCTACACGTCTTTGCTGTGTAGACGTACTAAGACATAACAAGCGGACGTGCATGTCTTTCCGATGGCTTTGCGGTTGCCATTGGTGGACAGTCAGTCCGACTTTCACCAGTGGACCTGCCTGTCATATGCGTTAAGGACAGGCGCCTCGATATCCGCTTCTGACACTGTGGCTAGCTTTGTTTCCCCCTCTGCTCGGAATACTAGATCTTGCTCTCGGTTACCTAACCAGCCTGCGAGCAGTTTCCGTTGCGAAGTAATCTGGGTCATTGGGTTCAGAACAAAGCCTCACATCGCGATAGGAGGTTGCGACTCGAGAAAGCAAAAATGAGGGTCTTGGGATCGTCTAAGTGGCCTTGAGCGAAGAAACAGCCTATTTCCTACCGATTATATTCTCTCCTTATAAAATCAGGCTCTTATTTAATTATGAACGACATTGCGTGTCAGTAAATTAACAAGCATTGTGCTGATTGTATGCCTTTTGCTGTCTGTTCATAATATTTTTCATCGAAGATAAAATAATCTTAAATCTAAACAGATTACTTTGCTTAGAATGTTGTTCCAGTAGCTACAGAGGAGTGCTTCAAGGGGATCTTGGTAAATAAAATCTAAACTGATCGGTCTGTCGGTATGTTGTAGTTTCTGGATTAGGTTAATGACGCTGTGGTTTTATATGATGACCTGGAAGTCCTCTAGTGGACTCATCAATCTAGCGAGATACGTCGCCAAACGATAGCTCGGCGAGCTAATATATTTCACATGGGACGTTCTATTTAAGAACCATCCTCAGTTCATGTATGTTAGCTTGGGGGGGGGGGTGAAATATAGGGGTTTTATTACATAATGATGTTTTCTTGTAGGTCTGTTCCTGATACGTTCTGCGGGTTTCCTTTTTATAATGTTCGTTCAATCCTTAGGGAGCAACTTGTACACATGTTCGTTTAGGCACGCTTCGTTCTTCTCGTGGCAGTCGCTGGTGTTTAACGTAGCCAGTGGCGTGGCGTCCGACGCCTTCCCTAAGGACAGAAGTGAACCCTCTTTTGCCTTATAATTCTCTTAAACGTCTTCGTTTTTGTTCTAATTTAGTTTCCATTCTGTTGTCTTCTTTGGTAGCTCTAGGGCCACTCTCTCCCCTCCGGTGATGACATTTCTTATGCTCGATATTGGACTCGTCTTATGAGCAAATTTCCAATTTGACGCTTTTGAGGAATTAAGCACTTTATGATCTAGCGTACCGTAGACTAGCAATAAGCTGTACGCTCAAGAACTACTTGCCTTAAGCGAAACGAAACACGTCCGTTCATTTTCTTAGATTTTATGATCTGACATTATTAAACGCAACAGGAATAAATTTGTGAGAGTTTATTGATACTTTAAAATGAAATAATAATTCTGAACGTTTATTATATCAGAAAACGCAACCTTCTTAAGTATGTGCATTGCTTTCAGATCACTTTTGGCATATAAAACTGGAGAAAACTGCGAGTAGTAACTTTTTTTATCCTGACCCACTTTTAAATGTCGACATATTTCTTCAGCTTGTACCTGTATTGTAAGCTGTCGATGAAATACAGATCAACGAATACAATAATTTTATTCAGAATCTGGCAGCTCTGAATAAGAAGATGGCTGTCTTCTGGGTTTATGCGCCGTGTAGTCTGACTTCTTGATCTTCCTAATTATGAAAGCAATAAACACCTCTGAAACGTCGGTGAACGTCTATCAGACTGCATGGCAGAACAGTCCAGAAGACAGCTATCTTCACATCACTGAATGTTTTCGTTCATCGAGAACATGGCCACTGTTCTAGGATCTGTCTGGAGTGACCAAGAATCACAAAGTCAACTGTCAGGTTAGCCGGTCTGAAAAGTAGTTCACTCTCATTCCCGAAAGCAAGACTGTTATGTATCTTAATGTATGCAACGAACACACGCGTTTTGTTAGATAACAAATATGGTACTCTTTAATCAGTCACATTTTATGCCCTGCTCTATACATGTGACCATTTATAGGCCCAGTCATTTTGTGTAGCCACTTCTCTTCCTGCTGTGATTTCTGTACGAGTTGTCTCGAATAAATTGTCTGATACAGTTCAACTGACTCTGCAGGTGCTACAGTACCATTAATTAGGTGGCTGAAAACTGTCCAACCAAATTTGATATCACTGGTGCAATAAGGCAGTGGTGATGATTTGGTATCTTTATTGTATTCTTTCTTCCCTTCATTTACTTGTTTCTTGTCCTCATATTCTTCTCTTAAATCTCCTTCATTCCTTTAAAATCTAACAGCAATGTAGAACGTCAACACTAATGTTATCTTAACATTTTAACCTTTATTATATGCACTTCTAAAAACTGTCTAATTGTAACAGCATTTGTAAAATTTAATATTCTGCTATCTGGCATCATTACTGGGGAAGTGGTAAGTCATGCATAACTCATATCTAGTCACCCGGGACTTTGCTATGAGAAGCCAGCGACTAACCACCTGTGTTATAGCTCGGCTGAAGTCTTTTTCTAAAGTTGAGAATAAGAGGCATATTCTGGCAGGTTAGCTTAGTGGCAAGGTGGAGGTCTCAGATTAGGATCAATGCTTCAAAATATATTTTATACATCAACTAGTATTTCGTTCCTTAGCATTTAAGACAGGATAAATTTTGATTGGGTACTATCTGTAGACATCAGTGTTTTATACAGGCACAACACCAAGGAATGATAATTACTGGTAATTAGTACAAGAACTGTGCCTCTGTTGGTAAACTCAGCGGTGCAGAAAGAACTTCAAAGCAACGAGAGTCTGTTTTTCATACGAATAAAATGTAACACCGTAAACGTTAATACGGCGTTTCTTTGTTTGTGATATTCTTAAATTATGCCAGTACGAACGAAGTAACGATGTTGTTAATTGGTTTTATGTGACACGCGAGAGAGAAATCAGTGGTGACGCGCGTGTTAGTACGCCTTCCTCGAGGCGTTTATTCCGGAAGTAACCCGGGTTCTCATCTGAAATAAACAAGTCTCTCTTTGGGTGGATTTGACGAAAGATATTAAGGTGTACTGAAGACGTAAAAACACGCAGTTTATAACAAGAAATACACAGATGTCTTATTGATTTAACAAACTCTCAAAACACAAAATTTTTTTCCAGTTTTTAATTAATATTTGGCAATTTTAAGTTGGTTAATGGTTTTGTTTAATGCCGCGTCAAGGTGATTGTTATGTAAAGTATTGTTCTAAAATCAATTTCTTCCAATAACTTAAACATTTACGTTTTACAAAAACGAAGATGATCCATGATTCATCGCCCAGATAATGAAGGCATTAAGCACCTTTGAAACGTCGGTAAACATCTATCAGACTATACGGCGCAGGAACCAAGAAGACAGCCATCTTTACGGGGACATTTGAGTTTAATTTTAAAATCTCGGAGCTGGACACGTCTTATTTCTCTTTCTTTGTAGTTTAGGTTTATTTTTAAACATTTAACAAAACAATCAATGCGTTGTACGTGCAAATACACCACAAGTTAAGAGTAATGACTTAAGTCAAACGATGGTTTCTTTAGGTATCGAGATATCAAGTAACAAAGCCTCCATGTGTTGTATTGTACACCGCCATTAAATACCAGTGTAATAAATCAAAGCAAGAGCGAGCAAAATTTCCCCTGAGGTACGACAGTAAAAAATGCTTTACGTTTACACGTGAAGCCTGTCAGCCGTGTAGTAGTTATTTAATGCTTTCGTAGTGGAATGGACCACAACCTTGTAAAACGTGCAGACCTATTGTTTTTTCTTCAGAGATATTTTTAAATCTGTGAGTTTTAAGCAGAGATGTTATAAGTTTTAGCTAGGATGTAAATGGTTTTCGAGAAATGGGTACATACGCCACAACTAATACAAAGCCAGAAAGTTGTATGATAGATAAAATAGTGTCATTTAATAAATGATTCCGTAGATCTTAAGACGTAATAACGCTTTGAATGTAAAGTAAGTCGTAGAAGCGTATCATATCACGGAGTTTGCTGTGATATGTTCAGGAACTTACGGACGTTTAGTTCGTTTTTCCACATGTTGGTAGCATTGAAAGAGGGAATGCAGTTACAGATATTTGAAAAGGCCCAACCTCATTTCAATTTTCAGGTTTGAGGAGATCGGATTGCTAGGTTTCCTAATCGATGGATTGGAATAAACGAACAAGTACCCGGGTCTCCAAATAGTCTAGATCTCAGTGCGTTGGACTTTCAAAAACGGCTTGCGCCAAAAAAATCCTTATCTTGTATGTCTCTGGTTAAGAATCGTTACAGTCGTACTGACATTCTTCGTCGCAAATAAACTCTTTCTGCAGGGCTTGTAAGGCATGCAAGATTTTCTCCACACTACCACAAATTAAATTGTGTGTTCTATTTTATAATATACAATTTAATAAGTTTGGAGTGGACATCTTCGTACTCGCTGCTATAGACAAGCAACACGAAGATCTGATTCGTCGCCTGTGCACGAACTGCGTTTCACAATAAATTCCGTTGTTCTGTGCCTCAGTTTAATAGATATTTCATATTAAGACAGACGAGCTCTTTTCGATGACTCTTTGTATTTATAGAGGACATTAAATTGCTGGGCAGCTAGAATCGCCTGGAGTAGATAAAATCTGCCAGCTTCTGAAGTGTACTTCTGACGTCAGATCACTACCACGTGCAACATTGGACGTACTAAAATAAATAATATTTTTTTCGATTTAGTCGCTTCAAAATAAAACCTTTTTCTAAATAAAAAAATAGTTCTATATAACTTTAATTTGCCCCACTTTCACCATTACAAATTCCTTCACTGGTTACATTACATTAGAGCTGCTGGTACTTAATTTTCACCAAACGTAATTATACTGTCATTACGCACAGCATATGGTTTAATTTAGCAAAGGTAACTGGAACTAAGTACACGGCTTTGCGTCATGTTCATTTATAGGCCTACGCCAAGTTCCATCTTGGGATATTACAAGTGTATTTTATTAATACTTTCCAACAACATTCAGTCGAGACATGTTTTTGTCGGGTGAATTCTTGGTAATGACCCAAAAGAAATATTTAGGCTTCAAAATTAATTACAGTGAATAAACTGTAAGCCTCAGATAGTAATGGACCCATACTCGTAAAATACAAGAAGTGTATACCGTCGCATTGGCAAAGAAAAAATATAAAGATGGAGCAACTAAAAAGGAAAGTTCTTGGACAGGACTGTCCGACCGCAATCTAGAGATAACACTAACCAAGTGGATTGTACCAGGTAAATATGAAGATTTGAAACTAGTATACGTTAACAGGTTCGCTTTCAGTTCTGAAATGAGAGCAGAGCAAAGGCTTGCTATTACGGTGACGTAACCAAAGCTGCAGTTCTGGTTCTTTCGGAAGTTCAGCAGCCGTGGGTAGGGTCGCCAGAGACCATCATCAGCTCTTCAGTGGTCAGCTGATACACTGGTCACGAGAGAAAGTATCGCAGGTGCACCTCACATTAAACGCTTCCTACAGAACGGCTGAGACAGAAAGAAAGAACTCCATGGAGCTAAACCCTTGTTGAGAAGCTGATAGTCGCCCAGACAGTAAAGGAACCTTCGTGATTGAATGTCGTGTTAACAAGAGTCTGCCACTGGTTCGTATCTCGAACCAGATGACTCCAGTCTATATCATCACACCATATTAATTTAATATCGATTTTAATATGTCCTCCCATCAAGGCCCGGGTCTTCCAAATAGATTCTTCTCTTCACACACCAAAAAACAGGACAAGATTATATTTTCAGTTTACATAACATAGGCCCCACTCAAATACAAGCAATAGGCCGCTCTTCATCATTCGTGTAATAGGTCCAGGGTCTCACGAGATTGTTACATCGAAACTCCAGTGATACTGCATTCCGCTTTTCTAGGCTACTCCTTCGTCATGGCTAAAAATATTGCTATCCTGAAGCTTTTTTGTTCTACAATTTTCTGTCCGTCTTTATCTAACTGTCTTTATATTGCTCCAAATGTCAAGTGGCGATTAAAGTGGTGAAATGAAGGCGTTCATGTAGAAATGTTCGTCAGACACCACACCGGCATTTGTCTCCCGAGGCTAGTGAAAAATACGAAAAATCAGGGCAATAACGGATTTGGATAAAATGGTATAGGCCTGCTTGGATCCGTCATTAAAGTCTACAAAAGATGCCAGTTTCAACCATGTCATCTGATTGCAGTATTATACTTAAATGCTTAACTGATAATTAACTGCATGGATGTAAGACCTTCTTCAGAAGCTGATTGTACACTCAGCCAGGAACTTCGCAGCCATTTCATGGAACCCGTAGCTTTATTACCGTGATCACAAAAGCCCGTCACCAGTCTTTATTCTGAGCCAGATGAATCCAACCGAAACCCCAAGATCTGTTTCCCAAACATATTTTCTTATTATCTCCACGTCTACTCCTCAGAGTGTTCGCTTTCATTCAGGCTTTCCAACAAAACTTTTGTAATAATTTATCTTCTGCTCCATGCGCTCTACATTCCCAGCCCAATTCATCCTTCTTTGATTTTATCACCCTCGTAATGTCTGGTGAAGAGTACAGATTGTGAATCTGCTCATTACATAGTTCTCTCTAGCCTTCCGAATGTCCAATTGGTACTTCAAAAGACTGTGGACCTATGACTGATAAAGGTGAATATTTCTTGTTCACTTAATATAGTCTCTCTGCATTGCATATTAGAAATGTATTCTGATTGACTTTTAATTAAATTTACAATGCAATTTTTTATATAATTCAATCACAGATGAAAGTTTGTAACACAAAGAGCATAAAGGGTGGTTTTTCAATTGATCGCTTGAAGAAATGTGTATCGGGGCCATCGTCAAATTCGTGAAATTTCCATTTCACATACGGTTTTCTCATGACAATATTTTATTTTGTGATATGAAGATATTACCACAGTAATTTTGGATGAAGGTAATTTTCGATCCACGTGTATCTTTCAATCGCAGACTATCTAATTCTCCGTGTGTATTTCATCTCACCTTATGTCTGCGACATTTCATAGAAATTGAAACTTTCTGTTGGGGAAGAAAGTGTTTACAAGCACTGACATATATAATTTTTAAAGATTATACTGATTACTTTAATACTACATTAAACCCTATACAATGCTTTCACACATAAATCGGAAAGCAACTGTCACTTCTCGGCTCCCGACAGAAATTCCGATAACAAAGTTTAGCTGATTTTATTACTTTTATGGAGCGATACCTGACTCATATCGAGAAAACCTTGTAGCGCTTGGCTGAGACTAATGCAGTTCCAGCCAGGAGCCGGGAAATGACAGTTGTGTTTCAGTTTATCATTGAACGCACTGCACAAACAATTCTCTGCAAACATGATGGTCTTCCAATGCAATGAAGTATTAAAAATTATCTTCTGAGCTAAAACAAGAGAATACTCACCGACTTGTGTGATTCATGACTGGAGTATGCTAATATCCAGCATCACCATCGTTCAGCATAAACGCTATATGTAAATATTCTGCCACTCCACTGTCGTCACAGCTGCTTCCAGTTCTGAGAATATAGCTACAAATTAATAATTTTTCCAATGCCTATATTAATGCAAGTCGCTATGTCGTGGAAGACATTTTTGTTTCCATACACAAAGACTTAGTCTAACTTACCACAACTGTAGCGTCTTTTCACGAAACTGAGACACAGCACGCAGTGACCTCGAGGTTAACGTAGCATGTAGGGCGTAATGAATTAATTACGATGTGAAGAAAAGACGCAGGCTGCGAGAATTCCAGAAGGAAAGTGAGAGAAGTACAGGAAGAAATGAGGAAAGGACGAAATAAGAAAATTTTCACTGAACAAATTCAGTGCAAGAAGAATGTCGTCGGTCCATAACAGTGCCTTGCTGTGTCTGAGCACTGAGAAATCGTGGAATGTTCCAACGAACGTCACATGACACGAAACTGTTGAGCAGCTCTCGTACAAGGCAGGAGTTTGCTTCTCTAGAAGCGATAAACAACTAAAGATACGGATGTCAACATCTTTTATGCGGTTATTTTTCTGTTTTGGGGAGTACAGAGACTTTAAACAATGCTTTTTTGCTACGTGTATCTAGGCGTCGTTACACTATTTTAAATTTAATATTTCTTTTTAAAAGCCTCGCAAATAAAAAAAGAAACATCAGATCATCTTCTAAACTGTTGCAACACTTCCATTTCGAAAAGTATGTGGCTATTTTCTGGAAAATTTTAATTATAATATAAGTAAAATTAGACACGATATAATCATTTATGTAAACGTAAACATCTCTGCAAATATTATGGTATGGGTATATTCAATTTAGGTAATTCTACCAGCAGAATGGATTAAATGAGTCAATACTCAATGGGCCATACAACTGCTTTTAAAATAGGCGATAAATAAAATTTAAGCAACATATTTAATATTGAAGAAAAACGAAGTTATTTAAAGCAGTTATAAAAATAATGAATTTTATAAAAAATTCCGAAACAATTTAAAGCCAACTTGTCTATCTAGTGACAATCAGCTTTTAGACTAAATAACTGAGTAAACTTGTACAAAAGTAAAATACAACAGAAATGAAAGTCACATAGCTGCTTCAAGTTAATGCGGAGAGCAGCAAGTGTAATTAAATCGTATTACTGAAGTTGGTTGACTCAAGAACGCTGTCGTATGTAGCTGTAATTGCATTTGTCGGACCCTCCTCATTATCCATAGGCCTACGGTGTGCTCGTTGCCATTAAGCGGCTGTTCACTTGGCTGGAAATTTTTGTCAACTTGGGGCCAATTAACATTTAAGGTCTAAGGTCAGGTCTTGTGAACACGGTAATAACTCTTTGGATTCTATAAAATACAGGGAAGTTTTAGACCAGCTAAGCGACTATCAGCTTCTCAAGAACCCCTTCTACGATAGCGCAAGTTCATTATTCTTACGAAGGTTCCCTTTACAGGACTGACAGATTCCTTGTACAGAACTGGCTTCTCAACATTAAATGTAAAAGAGAATTTTCGTGCACGTATGTCGGGAAGCGAACCCAGGTACGAATCTTTGCCTGAATACGTATATTTGTATAGTTCTCTGTGTTTTATTTTCTGGGTGGCATCTCTCATATCACTTTAAAGTCATCATTCAGAAATCGTAGATTCATAACTAAGCAGATGAAAACGCGTCTTTAAGCAACCAATGTCAACAAATCCAACCGAGGCTGTTCAGTCCATATTCGTAAAGTCTCTTAGTCTCTTTACAGACTAAAATTATCTCACAGGGACGGGAATTAAACATGTAGACGCATGTAAGAACCAGTTTAGTTTTTTCTTTAGTTATTATTAGTGCTTGACCTTTTAAAATTCAAGCAGTTTATGGTCGTTGAAAGTCAGCTGAAATTCTTCAGCAATGTACAGTTGTTCAGTGCTTGGTGTAATTGTAACTTTTATCACATGCGTGTAGACATGGGCACAGCCCTTGCTTGCAATTATGCTAAGCTATTATGTTTATATGTTAAGAAGGGGTCAGTTTTTAAAATGAAGTGGATCATTTTCCCAAAATGTGAATTTCTGTTAATTTCTATGACCGAATGTGCGTCATAGTAATTATACCAAAGGTTTTTCAATTTATTGATTCTATTCTAGGGCCTGCATTGTATACTTCTTCTGGATACAAATTTTCTTATGGCTGTCAGATTTATGTAATGGTAACTGGGGTACGTGTGCAGAAAACATATCCGAATATTGAAAACGTAATTATTTAGTGCTATTATACATTCAAATTTTTTGTGTAAGCATATTATCTTGCCATATATTTTTTTAGTGTCTTACCTTCTGTTAGTTCTTAGGTCTTATATTATTATTAAAGGAGTATACAATAACGTTATTATTATCATCATCATATTTATAAGTTTAGTTAATCCGTTTGTGTAAGATTTTTAATTTTTATTTCACTATTATTGTATATATTATCAGTGTTTGCCTGTTATTGGCTTCTTGCTGTTGGCAAACACGTAAATAAATTAATTGAATTGAATTAATTGAATTGAATCATCATACTCATCGTCGTCTTTAAAATTACTTGGTGACATCACTGGGAAACACACCAATGTAAAGTGAATTTCATACTCATTTGATATCAAGCTTTTAGATTGATGACCTGAGTGGTCTGAGTGAAAATGTAAGAACTAGTTCTTCCTGCAATAAATAATTCTGCACTGAAAGTGTTATACATTGAGTCAAGTCTAGACCGGTAGAGCGTTTGAGAATGAATGAGAGACAGATGAGGCGGGAAACAAATGAAAAGTGGCGACTCGCACACATGATCTTACATGAGTGAAAGTTAGGGAGGAACGCGATGTGCCCCTACCAGACCGATAGCCGATCTGGTTCGAGATGCCCTTCCCGGCTGACCCACCCCGGTACCACCCACCCATCCCTTCCAGCACTAACCAGTTCATCCACCGGTCATACATTGAGGGACTTCCGTATAAAAAGCTTCGCGAATTTGTTGCAAGCAGTGTAGTCCACAACTCGGCTTCAGCAGCACACACGAAGATGAGGACTTCTCTGGTAAGCACTGAGTAACCTTTTCAGTTGATGCTATAACTTTAACATAGTTTTCATGAGCCCAGAGATTCGGAAATCAAGTCTGAACTGTTCGACTACCATCACACGCAGGACAAACTGAATCTAAGATGTTAAAGTTAAATTTCTGTTTATTTCGAAAAAGAATATTTCGTTTAGAGTTTCAGATGTGGGATTTGCACTAAATTTTATTTTAGTGAATGTTTTCAAAATGCCTACAGTTCTTCTGCCATTCCATCAATTTCTACATGCGTTAATTACTGTTAACAATATGACACAAGCTGCAAAGTCTGAAATTTTTTGTGTGGAACTCATTTCGGAACGAATACTAGATGGGATGAATAATAGTAATTTTACGGTGAACGGCCATCATCATCTCTCTGCCATCAACTGTCTATCCTGTCCCTGCTTTACCATCGATCATGCAGACCGATTAGTATGTTTAATAAGTCGCACAGGGATGATTTTTTCTAAATCCATCCATATTTAGCGCATACTATATATCATTTTCATATCTCAGTCTGTCTGGTATTCAGATAGCTGATTACAAGGGACGAAATTTTTCTGAATATGTAGTAGATTTTATTTAGTATATTACAAATAGAGACGTCTATAGTTTTTGATTTCTTAATGCCTCTTCTGTCACGATAAAGTACAGTTTGAATTTACTAATTCTCAGACGGTAATTTTTTTTTACAACATGAGACTTTGATGTTACTTTTATTTCATACGACGACATACTCTTTTCTAGCCAGTTTTACTCAGACATAGTGGGCTGGTTGTTGAGATGACTCTGTGACGCCCTTGTTCCAGATTTGTAGTTTTGTACTGGCATTAGCCGTAACTGGCGCCATCTCCGAGTCTGAGAAACCCGTCAAGCAACAGACGAAGCGAGGGGTGCTCGGCTTGGGATATGGCGGCGGATATGGATCGGATTTGGGCCTGGGGTATGGCAGCGGAAGCATTGGAAGCATCGGAAGCATCGGAAGCATCGGTGGTATTGAACTGGGTCACGGAGGGATCATCGGCGGCGGATACGGCAGTAGTTATGGCCTCAGCTCTGGAGGAATTGGATTGGCCAGTGGCGGAATTGGACTAACCACCGGCGGAATTGGTCTAACCAGCGGCGGAATTGGGCTAACCAGCGGTGGAATTGGGCTAACCAGCGGTGGAATTGGGCTAACCAGCGGCGGAATTGGCCTCGGTTCCGGTAGTATTGGACTTGCTACTGCTATCTCTCCAGTCCGCGTAGCTACCGTAACGCAACAAGTCCCTGTCCCTGTACCTCATCCCGTTCCGGTCACCGTCAACAGACCTGTCCCTGTCCCCGTACCTTCGCCGTATCCCGTGCCCGTCCCTCGCCCCTACCCTGTCCCGGTGCCACAGCCTTTTCACGTTGAAGTCCCGAAACCATACCCCGTCACCGTGAACCGCCCTGTTCCAGTGCCAGTAGCACATCCTGTCCCTGTCGCTGTGCCTCGCCCATACCCTGTCTCAGTACCCAGACCTGTCCCTGTAGCTGTACCTGTTCCTCAACCTGTTGCTGTCCCTGTGACTCAGCCTATAGCTGTCCCCGTACCTCAGCCTGTAGCTGTTACCTCACTTGGTCTGGGGTCTTCCATTAGCGGCGGGTCTATTGGTGGCCTCTACAGCTCTGGATCTCTCGGAGGTTTAGGCTATGGTTATGGTGATTCCATTTCACTTGGAGGACTCCATGGTGGTTCTCTTTCACTTGGAGGACTCCATGGTGGTTCTCTTTCACTTGGAAGCCTTCACGACAGCTCCATCTCATTAGGGGGACTTCACGGAAATTCTCTGAGCCTCGGTTCCAGTTATGGATATGGCTCCGGTTCACTGAAAGGAATCTACGTGCCCAGTTCACTCGGTGGACTTCATGGCGGAAGCTACGGCTCTTCTTATGGATCAGGATACGGCTACGGGCAGAGCTACAAGGGATAGGCACTGTTGCATTCTACGCAGTTTGGAGGGAACGAATATATTGTGATAATTCTTCATCTTCGTTATTAGATGCTAAGCTACGCCAACAGTTTAAGTATAGTCATTAAATAACACATAAATACAACCAAATGTAATTTTGTACAATAATTTTTATAAATAAATTTTTGCGTGAAAAATACGTACATTTTAAAATAATTTTAACAAAATCCTTCAGCTAGAAAGCTGCCGCTCTACTGCAACAAATAAAACAATTAATTATCTTTCCTTACCGCATAACCTCCTTGTGATAAGTTCCGCAAATTCCATTCTATTCTAAGGATTATTTCAAAAAGAAGTGTCCAGAAAACATGATTTATACATAAGCAAATGGTATAATTGTCTTCACCAAGCCCTGTAACTTTCCTTATTCGATGCTCTTTTAGGTGTTACTTAACAGTCCAGAGGCTGTTTTATTTGAATATGATAAATTCACAAACTTCACTTAGCAGAGTGCTTCTTCATTAGCCGATAATTGGTCGACTGGTCAATAAATCCTCTGCCTTGTTCACAAAAACCCGAAAATCTACACTGCAGTATACAACTATCACGACCCTTTTTATTAAGTTTAATTTTAATATTACCTTCCCGTCTGTGTCTAAATTTTCAAACCAGTTTCTTAGTTTCAGATTCCCGACTACATTTTTGTATGTATTTCTAATATTTTACAGCGTGCTACATACCTAGTCTATAGCATTCTTTTTAAGTTGATCACCCAAACAATAATTTTTAAAAATAATAAATTCTGAAGCTCCGCACTGCGCAATTTTCCACAGCCTTGCTTTTTTTATACCTCCTGTCCTCTGCAGAGCCACAAGGACTTTCTAGGTGTAGTCTTATTTGAAGACTTCTTCCTACACAGGAGAATAAAGATGTCTTTAGCGAGATTCGTGTCCGAGAATCCCACCTGTTGTGGCAAGCGGTCTGATTTGAAGAGAATTTGTCTAAAATAATTTTGCTGATATCGAAATGTTGCTGGCTTCAGCCAATTGTCCCGAAAATAGATGCATGTCGCAATTGCGCAAATAGCAGGCTTCATTTATTTCTTGTATAGCAGAGTGATTTATAGGCAGCGCAGCCGTGAATCATACGCGTCATCGGTCTCCCGACTTGACCGATTAGTCATTTTGTCTGAGTTGGCGCTCGCAGGAAACACAATGTATTTTTCGTCCAGGAACCTATTGAGGCAAATTCAGTGTCTGCACATGACATTCAGAATATCCTATTCGTTTTATTAAATGGGAGGTGTTTTGGAATTATTGTCCTCCACATATCGAACTGTTTGCAGAACGTACGTAGGTCGTAAGTATTTCTCTCCGATATTGAGGAGAGGTGATAAGCCCAATCTCTACCATCTTGATTGTATCGTATCAAGATACTTTATTCTAAACAACTACAAATTCTACAGTCATGAAATTTCGTACACTTGTAGTTATGGGTTTTCTGTATATACTGACTTTTGTAGTAATATACTTGTAGAGAGAGTTGTTACATTTTTAAAGGGCATATTTTTAACATTTTAGAACAAAAATATTTAATAACTTTGTGACTTTGTTCTTTAGAGGCGTGAAAACTTGGTATCTTCACAAAAACATTATAATTATTGCTGTAAAGTTCATTCTTCTGAGCCGACCCGTCGGTTCTTGGTTGCGGAGAGGTTAACGGTGGCGACCTCGGGATTAGTGAGGGCTGCCTGAACTAAGGATGTCGGATCAGTACCCGTGTTTTGCTGCCCTGGCTCGGGATGTGAGAGGGCAGGATTTGAGGGGGGTTGAAATGTTTGGCCCTATTCTCTCTAGCACAAGAGTCACTCGCTCGAACCTCGGGCTGGGTAAGTTTATTGGTGTTGGCGTCCTGCGGCTTCCCCGAGATTTGGAGGTAGCTACTTCTTGTTTAACTACGTCTTTTTTCTTGGGTATTTTGTGCTGGTTGAGAAGATGGGATCACCAGGAGTGGGTAGCTGCCCTATCTGTCGGGTAAGGGAAAACACTGAGACAAAGTAATTTTTTTTATGAGTGGAAGAAAGAGAGTTCTTTTTGAAGATTTCTGTCTTCTGGGTTGTTGTAGTATGACCTCTGAAACGTTGGTAAACATCGACCAGACTACACAGCGCAACAACCCAGAAGACAGAAATCTTCATACTCACCGCTGTGAAGACCTTAAATCTTATAAGAGTACTTTTTATTTATTGTACGAGAGAGTTTTGTATTTGCTGTAAGATAGAGTTATATTTATTTACAAGAAGATGGTTTGATATGGTTTTGTCAAACTGGGTGCATTTATGTTCGATTGTGTTTCTGAAAAGAAATAAATTTTTACTATTATTTTCTTTTTTGAACATCGTGTTTATTTACGTTTGGCGTACCCAAGAGGGGACTGCCAAGGGAACTAATGACAATAAGAACTGGAATCCCCCCTTTTTGTCTTCTTTGAAGGGGCGATTCGGTTCACTTGTTATATGTAGTTTCTGAGAATAATATTTGTGTCTACAAAAGGCAGTTACGGGAAAATGGATGAGAAAATGTATAAAAAGTCCGTTGCCAATTATATTACTATGAAAAACAGAATTCGCATTGCGGAGATAGGACTTACACACCTCCACTTAAGTAACAGATGAGACGAATTTACTTCATTTTCAGCTACACTATCTATGAATGCGTGAAATGAATTACAGGAAATGGCTGAGTCATAAAACGGCCTCTTCTGAAACCTCTGCAAACAATTTTGGAAGATGTAACCTGCGGTGAATTTAGTTTTCTCAGATTAAATGTTTTTATTTTGCTGAAGAGTTGCGTGACATAGGCTTATAGCCAAAGGAAACGTTAACGGCCGTTGAATGTTGCCGGACCCTTGCCAAAACCTACATCCGGCCGCTTATTACTCGTATTTGCATAAATACAAAGTACTTGCTCTGCTTCTAGCAGTCTTCTGCTCTTCCTGATGAGAAGAGCTGGGACCTATTTGCCGAGGCGGATGCATTACGTGATTCAAACCGATGCCTGTTCAATTATTTGCACTTCTGGCGTTCTGACTGCCTTTCCTCAGCATTCATTATTTCCCAAGCCTTTAATCAAAATAATTTATTACAAATAGACCTATAATTTCTGTATACTGTTATCAGCTCAGCCAGTAATTAGTCAAAAGAAATACGTGAGAAAACTGCTAAGTAGGCCTACTTCTGCGTTCAAATACAAAGGCATACGTCATTCGAGGAAAACAGTAACCTACTTCAATTACATAAATGTTAATCAAACCTTAGACGTGGTTACAAAGAAATACTAATTTTATATGTCCAATACTTTTTCTCTGATGTCCCTGTGAATTCATGTTTTGACTGTGGGATTAGTAATCATTTTTACTTCTGAATTACGACCATCTAATATTTAGCATTACTCCTACCCGTAGTAAATCTTCGTCAAGACCTTGTGATTCTTACGTTTCTACTTACAGAATTTTTAACCTATAACATATGGCAAATTAGTAAGCGGATGGCTGCAGCATAACGAAGGGAAAAAAATTGATGTTTTCAACCAATAAAAATATATATCTAGCTAATTCAGTTTGTGTTGAAATTTATTTTATTCATATACTTGTGTAAATGGCTTACAGAATCAGTCTTTACAAAATTAAAACTTGGAATGCGATATTACGAGGCTGTGTATTTGTGAACGTGATCATACGTGGTGTAACAACAGTTGACCTTGTTTTGTTGCCAGGAGCCCACGATGAATTCAGCTTCAAGATAGGTCTATTGAACGTAATCGACTTATTTTATCAAATTTAAAATTAAGGAATATACTAACTGCAAGTCCAGTCTGGGGATTTTTGGAACTTTCCATTTCTCGGGTATCAGTCGTTTATGTAGAAAAGATACCTATTATGACCTTTTAGAAATTGTTACAAGTCTTTATATCAAACTGAGTTCACTGCATGTTAATACTTGTTATTGTTGCACTGTTTATTAAGATCTGTAATATATAATGCATATATTTCATCATCCATCAGATACAATCATAATTACACATATACATCACACGAGGTGATATGATCTAAAATGTATGTATCATCTTGACCTTTTTGTACTAGTTATTATTTTGAGAATATCGGTACTCTAATATTTCGGGAAATTATATTAACAGCATAAAATAAATATATATTAAGTAACCTATATTTACTATTGTATTTGGTGCTACCGCTGATGATGGCAGTGAAGCCGAAACATGTCGGGCAATAATTTTAGATAAATGTTGCAACATATCACCTCGTATGAGGTACGTGTAAAGTTATGATTGTATCTCATGCATAAGGAAATATATGTAGGTATTCGCTGTCTTTTTAGCCGTCGCTGAGTGTAAATGATCAGACTTCGGTAGCCATCGTTTCTTTCGTCTTATCCCTTGATGCTGTGACCATATACTGAGCCATAACTTAGGCTCGGGGATTCTTCGTGAAACTTGTCGATTGTGCCTCCGTGAAGTCCACTGAATATACCGGAACCTCCGTGAAATCCTCTGCCCGTTAGTCCGCTACTAAAAATTTCACCGGCAGACAAAACCACATATTGAGGAGTTGCAAATGTTATTGGCTGCGGTACAGGGACAGCGCGAGGGAAATATACGGTATAAGGTTGAGGTATAGGGACAGGGATAGGTCGGTGTATTGTGACGGGAACAGGTCTGACCACGGTGAAAGGAACCGGCTGAGGCACTGGCACAGGAACAGGGCGAGGTACGGACACTGCGTAAGGGACCGGGACAGCGACAGGTACGGCTCTGTTAACAGTCACAGGTACAGGCTGAGGGACGGGGACTAATACCTGACGTGTAATAGTGTTCACCTGGATACCAGAGGTCCCTACACTTTCACTGCCAGCTCGTAGCCGAAGGCTTCCCTGGCCGAGATCAAAAGGTACAACAGAATGACCGCCTCCATGATCACTATACGCCACATCGAGAAGTCCTCGTTTGTTCTGCTTTTTCTGTGGTTCACCGGCATTACTGACGGCGGCAGAAAGGTTGAGAAGCAACACACAAACCTGGAGAAAAACATCGTGCAAAAAGAGAAAACTCTTTTATGTACAACTGAAGAACATGGAAGTTGAGATCAGTTTTTCTTGTTTGTTTAAAAACTAACAAATTGCGCCTATACAAAAGGCGTATTAAGATATGACACGTTTTTCTAGACC